GGTGTGCCGACAGGAGGTGTTTGGCCTGCGCGGGGTTCGTCGCTTGGTGGACCGCCTGGCGCCTGCTCTGGGCCCAGTGCTGTACGATGTGGGCACGTTCGGCCTACAGCCGGGGCCGCACCTCAAGCTGCTGGGCAGCGGGCTGCTGCTGGCCTCGCGGTACCCGCTGCTGCGTGCCACCTTTCATTGCTTCCCCAATGGGCGTCGAGAGGACGCGCTGGCCTCCAAAGGACTACTTTCTGCACAGGTACCGGCCCTCCCGCCGTGGCGTGGCGAGGGGATGGGATGTTGGGCCGAGCGAGCCATGGGAGCTGGGACCGTCCATGGTGTTGCAGGCGCAGCTGGGCAGCCTGAACGGGCGCCGCATCGTGGGATTCCTGCACTGCACACACTTGCATGCACCGACTGGTGAGCCTTGTGGGTGGGGTCATCCGAGCATGGTCTGGTCATGCAGCCCCCTCTCACCTTGGCGGCGATGGGCCTGTACTTCCATCTGCACCTCTGCTCCCCACCTGCCATCGTTGGTTCACTGCGGCGGCGGGCACCGGAATGAGAAGTACCTGGGTGGGCTCACAGATCAGGGACTGGGAAGAGGCCGGGCGTCCAGGATGTGGATACAGAACCTGGGCTGAGCAGATTCCACGCCCCTTTCCTCCTTAGAGGACGGGCGCTTGCGCTGCAAACAGCTGACACTGTTGCTGGACTGGGCTGAGCAGTTTGAGGCTGAGAGCAGCCAGAGTGATGAGGTCGTGGCCTTCAGCGTGCTCCTGGGTGACCTTAACTTTGACAACTGCTCCAAAGGTGAGGGGAGGCTGGGGAAGGGCGGGGCCAGAAGCCCCGACCCTGCCCACCGAACACCGCCTCTCTCCGCAGACCACGCGTGGGAGCAAAAGCACGCGCTCTTCAGCCGCTTCCGGGACCCCTGCCGGCTGGGCACACGCCGGGAGCAGCCCTGGGCCCTTGGTACTGCATGAGGGGGAATAGGGGGCTGGAGGTGCAGAGGGGGCAGTTGACCTGAGAAGTGCCCGTTGGCAGAAACTCCTGCTGATACCGCCCTCCCTCGGACCCCCACAGGGACGGTACTGAGCACTTCCGTGCTCCATCACTCTGTGGCCTGTTCTCCCGAGATGCTGCGGAGGTGAGTCGCGACCTGGGAACCAGGTACAACCCGCAAAGAGGGGTGCACTATCCTTGGTGACACCGCTCCTCCCCAGGGCCCCAGCGCAGAGGGGTGCACTATCCTTGGTGACACCGCTCCTCCCCAGGGCCCTGGAGCAAGAGAAAGGGCGCCAGCTCTACCTGGCAGGCCCTCTTGACCGACGCCGCCGGGCTAAACCCTGGAGGGGCCGGCGTCTGGACTACATCACATACCGGGGAGTGCCCGGGGGCCTGCTGAGCCCAGTAAGTGCCAGAGCTCCGGGCAGCTGGGCCTGCTGGTCCTGAGATGACCCTTCAACCTGTCTCCCGCCCCCAGGAGGTGGAACAGGTAACATTCAGCACAGCCCTGGCGGGGCTCACGGATCACCTAGCGGTGGGCTTGCACCTCCGAGTTTCAGCGGCGTCTTTGTAGCATAGGCATACACTGACGACAGGCGCACGGCAGGTGGAAACAAACTACGACGCAGAGCACGAATTTGGCCTGGTAGCTGCGCCCCGACTTCAGGGATCTTTATTGGGGTGGAGGGAGCTCACACAGCCTCCTGGGCCCGGCGGTACTCATAGACACTGCCGCGCTGGGGGAAGGCCGGCGCTTGGGGAGGCGACCCTGGCGGTGGGGCTGGGTCTTCTGGGTCCCCGTAGCCCCCGCCTCCAGGAGTGTGGAGGCAGAATACATCCTGTGGAACAAGGAAGCGGGTTCAGCGGGCGTGGCCCCTCTGTTCCCCGCGCCAGTCCGCTCCCCAGCTGGAGCAGCGTCTGTCACCCGCCCCTCCCCCCTCCCACCCACCCTGGAGGCCCAGTACACGCCCTCTTTCCTTCGGAAGCCGAATTAAATTCGACCTCTGGTTATTTCTGCAACTGTTCACTGACTGTGGGAGGGGGGCCAACGAGGGGGGAGTGGGGAAGGAACAGGACAGGCAGCAACCCTTACCCCAGGGTACACGGTCACAGACGTCTTCCCACCCAAATTCACCATCCGGCCATCCTTTCGGATTAACAGGTTTAGGCCACGGGCTCCAGGCTCGCCGCCTGCGAGGAGAGATGAGGCGAGGTGTCCAAGGAGGCACGGGAGAAACAGGGAAGGGGAGATCCGGCAGAGGGCCAAGACTAGGCGGGGCACGGGAAAGACCCTCCAGCAGGGGCCGGGGAACCGCCCACCGTGGAGGCCGTAGGGCCGGAAGGCGCGGCGCTCCGTAAGTACAGACAGCAGAGCCTCCTCGCGGAAGAGCAGCTCACGGATCACACCGTCGCCACCGCGGAAGCGGCCTCCACCCCCAGAGCCCGATCTCAGCTCGAAGCGGCGCAGGACGACCGGGTATCTGTGCGGGTGAGAGACTCAGTGCGGCCCGAGCTCAGGCTTCCACCCCAGCCCGGCTCTCTAGCTGCCGGCGGTGCAGCTTACCGGCTCTCCAGGATCTCGGGGTCAGTGATGCGTGTGTTGGTCATGTGACTATGCACCCCGCTGCGCCCCTGCCAGCCGGGGCCTGCGCCTGCACCGCCTGCCACAGTCTCATAGTAGCCCATGTGGGCGTTGCCCAGGGTCACATTGTTCATGCAGCCCTGACGGGGGCAAGCAAACACTTCACTCAGCTAGGGTGGGACATTCTCTCCCTTCCAGTCCCCAAGCCTGCCCACTCAGCCAGCCCTAAGTCTGCACCCACCCTGCCCCTGCACCTGGGAGGCAGCACAGGCCCCAAAGGCCCGCAGGATGACATCCACCACACGCTGGGACGTGAGCACGTTGCCGCCCACCACTGCTGCCTCAGGGGACGGGTCCAGGATGGAGCCTTTAGGAATCAGGACACGTACGGGTGCCAGGCAGCCCTGTGTATGGGCAGGTGGCTCTCAGGGGCAGTTGGGAGTAGGCCCCACTCTCAGGGAGAAACACTTTGACAGCACCCTTTGAGACACTCCATGGTTGGGCTGACCTTGCCTTCAGGCTCACTCAGGGTGGCCTTGGACTCAGGGACCCCCCTCATGCACACACCCTTGCAAACCTGGTTGAGTGGGATGTCACGGCCCACCAGACAACGCAAGCAGTAGATGAGGGCAGACAGCGTTATAGCCCGAGGTGCATTGAGATTGCCAAATACCTCTGGTCCAGTTCCACTGAAGTCAAACACGGCACTGCCCTGCTGGCCAGAGGGGAGGGAAAGGATGTCAGCTGCCAGCACCATGCCCCTACCCTGAAGAGGCATCCTCCCTGTGGTCTGACCTGATTCAGGTTGATCTGCACATGAAGGCGGATAGGGGAACCATCATCCATGTGGTCCTCCGCAGACACCTCAAGGGGCAAGCCCCGGGTCTGCCGGGAGCTTCCAAAGGCACGCAGCATGTCCCGCACTGCCAGTTCTGCATTTGCCTGCAAGGAGCAAGTTTAGCAAAACCATACCATCTTCAGGGTGGCCCAGCTGGCCCACTCTTCTGCCCTGGCCCACCTGAATATGGCCCATGTATGCCTGCACCACGTCCAGGCCATACTGCCCAATGAGCTCCCCCACCAGCTGGATGCCCTTCTGGTTGGCTGCCACTTGGGCACGGAGGTCCGAGAGGTTGTCATGCAGGTTCCTGGTTCCGCTACAGCTGGGGATCTTGCCTGGTGCCCGCAGGGCCTCAGTCACCGCTGGATGGACAGGGTTGGTACTCAGCCCCCTCCAAGCCTGGGGCCACCTGGTGCTCTGTTCCACATGTACTGCATCCCCATTGGACACTGGGATCCCCATGTTGGCCCTTCATTGACTCCCTACCTCCCCTGCTGACTCCCCTGGTGCTCCACAGACCCCCAAACTCCACCATTCTGCTGAGCCTTCTCCCTCCCACAGTCCAGCACCCCATGGCACCCTAGGCTTGGGAAGGCAGCTGTACCAATGACCTCACTGGAGCTGGAGGTACCAGGACTGGGGGGCAGTCAGGTTTACCTCTCAGCAAACTCTTCCCTCCATCATCCCTCCTGCCCTCTGTAGGCCTCCTTTCCCGCCCCTCTCCCAAGAGAAAATCTACTTCCTTTGATGTTCCCCTACTCACACTGCCCTCAGACCTGCTAGCTCCCCATGCCTCACACCCACCTCCTCACCAAATGCCTTGAAAGAGCATCAGGTGCCTGTCTGCATGTTCCCCCATCTCAGATTTTTCAAATCTGGACAAGGTCTCCAGCTTCTGACAAGCAGTGAGGTCTGTCTGTCCGAGGGACTACTCCCCACTGTAGAAAATTCCTCTTCCTTCAATCCTGGGTCAGGGTCCTTTCTGAGGCACCCTGGTCATGGAGCCCTCTGCCATGTCCTACACATGTCCCTCCATAATCCACATCTGCTCCAGCTCACACTGACCAAAAGAGCAGCCAGGACTGGGTCACCCTATCTGTGACCTCAGTCCCCAGAACAGCCTATGGCTCTGTTACCCCCACCCTCTACCCTGGCACGTTGCCTCCCCTCACTCCAGGATGGATGCCTCCCTAGACTCCCAGACCCCTGCAACCTCAAACCAGGACTGTTTTCCCCTATCCTCCCCACCATGCACCACTACAGCTTCTGTGCCACCTTCTCTGCAGCTGCTCAGCGCCAGGGCCTCCACCTCCAGCTGTCCAAACCTGACCCCTGCTCCTCCAAATCGCATCAAACACCTGCCTCCACTTCCAAAACAATTCCCCCTGCCCTCCACCCAGCCTAGGACTCAGCATCATCCAGGGCAACTGCAGCAACCCCCACCCCATTACCCCCACCGCGCCTCAGGGCTGCTCTTGGATCCATTTCCTCTCTGTACATGAATGCACGGGCAGCCCAGTGCAAGCCCAGCTGAAAGCTCTTCACAGCCACCCACCATCCAGTGACTCAGACCCAGGCCCAGAAAACTCTCCAGAAGCCTAAACCCCTGACTCCTGGCCCCACTGTTTCTCTGCAACCTCCACTCAGTGTGGACTGCACACACCACAAGCAGCCACCCACCTTGAAACTGGCTCATTTCCCTGACCCTGAATGTCTTGGCCAACTCCCTACCCCCAAAACCACCTCAGGCAGAATTCATCTCAGCTCCTGTGATCTGATCTGCAACCCATGGGATTACCACCTATCTAGCCCCAGCCTGCTAAAGAACCACCCCAGCCCTACTCCCACTCACCCTCCTCCTGGAAGACGCCCCCCTGGACGAGTTTGAAGGACAAAAAGACAGCACCCTCCTGTTGCAGCATGGTGGAGTGGGGTGGCATGGAGCCCGGTGTAATGCCCCCAATGTCTGCATGGTGCCCACGGCTGGCCACATAGAACACAGGCCGTGTCTGACCCGGCCAAAACACCTAGGGAGGTGGAGAGCAACTGTCAGCTGTATAAGCTGCTCGTGCCCCACCAAAGGCAGCCAGGCAGCGGCCCTCACCGGTGTGATGACAGTCAGGTCTGGAAGATGGCTGCCCCCCGCACTGGGGTGGTTGCTCAGCAACACGTCACCAGGGTATAGGTCAGCCCCCAGGTGCTGGATCTGAAACCAAGAGATAGGTGTAGAGTGGGAAAGAGGAGAGCAGGGGCCAGGGCAGGTGAGGGGGTCAGGGAAAGGGGCCCACCACACCTGGAACTGCACAGTCTCCTGCATGGCACCCAGGTGCACAGGGATGTGGGGGGCATTGGAGACCAGCCCCCCGTCGGGCCCAAAGAGAGCACAGGAGAAGTCGAGGCGTTCCTTGATGTTGGTGGAGATGGCTGTGCGCTGCAGGATGCGACCCATCTGCTCTGGGGACACAGAGTAACCCGATGCCTGCTGGCCCCACCCACCCACAGCATGGCCCAGGAAAAAAGAGGAACAGGACCTACCAGGGTCAAGGCCTCCCAGGCCCAAACCCAGGTTACAGCAGCTTTTCACATACCCTGGGAAAGACCAAGATAGCAACAAAAGTGGCAGCATGCCCAACTGGAAACAGGCTGCAACCAGGCTATGTCTTGAGCTGTATGAAGAGCACCATCTTCTTCCCAAGTACTGCTTGGAGCACTCAGAAGGACCTGGCACCTCACCTCCACCCTCTGAGCCGCCTGGCACAGCAAGAATCTGGTTCCTAGATACAGATCCCTGGACTCCCATTAAATCCCTGGCCTGACCCTGCACAGATGGACTCCCTGTGCTGTCCTCAATGTCCTGTCCCTAGATAGGAAGGCAGTCCTCAGATCTCACAACTATGGCTAAGAGAATGAAGGTGCCTGTCCTGCCCAAGCCTTGCTCTTGCAACAGGCCATGCCATCTCAGGGCAATACTGCCTGCTTCATTGCCAGTGGGAATCCAGCTTCTGCCTCTTCCCCTTGGGCACACTGCACATCCTGCCAGCCTCCATGTGACAAGCTAGTGCTGTCATTCACATCACCTGTGCCTACCTCTCTGCCCAATTATAGAACCCCCATGCCCTTTCCCACAGGGAGCCAGGGCAGTGGGGAGGATAACTGTGGCCACTCACCAGCAATGCTCATGAAGCGGTGTGAGAAGATGGACAGCTGGATGGGGTCGAGTTGAGTGCCTGCTATACTGGACGCTTCAGCCCCCACAGAGATGCGGATGTCCCCTGTCTCAGTCACTTCTGCCTGGCAACCTGGCTCCACCAGGATGGTGCTGGAGGCAGGGGGTACGGGGGGCTGCATGGATCCAGGCCAGATCCCACCAACCATCCCAGAGCCCCAGGCCAGGGGACACTCCAGCTATGGGCACAGAGTCCTTTGGGGCACTGCAGCCTTGGGCCAGAGAATCCCCCTCCACAGTCCCTACCCTGCCCAGACCTTGGCACACCTGTTACTGTCGATGATGAGGCAGGGCCCCTGCAACTTGTGCCCATAGCCCAGCTCTCCAAGTAGGTACACAGGAGTCTCCTGGTAGCCCCCCTCAAAGTAGCACTGGGTCATCTGTAGAGAGTGTGGAATGGGTGAGGTTCCTAGATCTGGCACCTTCCCCAAGACCTCACAGGGCTTGGTCTCCCCATCTACCCCTGCATTCATGCCCCATGGGTGTGGGCGGGATGGCAGGGGCATCACCACCAACCTTGTCCACCCGCGGAGGTCCAGTCTGGGTTTTGGGGGCATCCTCAAGGCGAAGACCACTGCAGCCAGTGCCCCGCACCCGCACATCGTCCACCACCACTGGCCGCTCAGGGATGATGAAGCCAAACTCCCTCATGTACCTGCAACCCCAGGCCCAAGGAGCCATCAGGGCAAGGTGACCAGACTAGCATTCCCCCTCACCAAGGCTCTCACAGAGGAGCTCACATACCGCTCCACAAAGGCTGCCCCAAAGTCACCAGCACGAGGTGAACGAGCTGTGGCCAGATGCTGGTGGGCAGACACCATCAGGGCGCAGTCCGTGCCCTGGTAGCGCAGGTGCAGGAAACTTTCAGTGCTGATCTGGGACCTGCAACAGGCAGTGGGCAGAGCACTCACACAGAGTCCCCTGGTCTGCCCCAACTCCATCCAGCACCTCACAAGGATGCCTGTCCCGCCTTCTCTGGCACTTAGAGTCCAGGAGCCTTTCCTGACCATTGTCCTGAAGGGCCCCAGGTCCATCTGGGAAGTCATCAGGCAGAAAACCCACCAAGGGGGTATTGGGAATCATATAAACCCTCCCCCTAGAGGATCCTGGGAGCCCACCTGGGGAAGCCCTGGCCCCTCAGGGCATCCACACACTGCTTTTCCAGGCGGCTCAGCCTCTGATCCAACTGCGCAAAGGTGTCAGGCATGTAGGGCAGGGAGCAGGGCTCCTGTGCCTCGTGTACCACGTCTGCCAAGGCCAGTCCCAGTGCTGACAGCAGCCCACTGTGCCTGTGGAGACGGGTGATGCAGTGATGATGGGGATGTTTCTCAAAGCCAGCTTCCCCAGCACACTCATACCCAGACCCACCTGTGAATGTGCACAGTGTCCATGCCCAGGGCTCGGGCAATGGCACAAGCATGCTGCCCACCAGCTCCCCCGAAGCAGGCCAGGACATGGGCTGAGGGGTCATGTCCTCTTGCCTGGGGAGTCAGAAGGGGTCAGTGGTCTTTCTTACCCTACACCATCTGCCCACCCCCACCCCCACCTCTCAGCTCTGTTGGGCTGACTGGGGCTGAAGGGAGGGATAGGCAGGTGAGGGCCAGTAGAGGTGGGCATACCTGAGTGAGTGCACGGATGGGCCGGCACATGGCTTCATTGGCCACACGCACAAACCCCATGGCCACCTCCTCCAGGCTCAGCGGGGAGGCCGGGCAGGGGCCATTGGCCAAGAAGCTGTTGACCTCAGTGGCCACAGCCTCCAGGGCCTTGCGAGAAGCCTCAGGGGACAGTGGCTGGTCTTCTCCCGGCCCAAAAATGCAGGGGAAAGAGGCAGGCAGCAGGCGACCCAGGACCAGATTAGCATCCGTCACCGTCACAGGGCCCCCTAGGAGGTGGGCATGGTGTGGGGGTTGGGGACTAGAGGTAGAGGGCCAGGAGTGGGCAGCAGGGATGAGGCTGAAGGGATAAGCTGGGCCTGGGGCAGTATGAGGAGGGCGAAGTCTGGCTCTTACCTTTGCGATAGCAGGCAGGGCCTGGGTGGGCTCCTGCTGACTCAGGCCCAACCACAAAGAGGCCAGACCTTGGGAAAGGGAGGATTAGGATTGGAGGTAGGCAGAGAGGAAGGGCTGGGTATCCCAGCCCAGGAGGCCAGGGGAGCTGACCTGAAGAAGAGGCGAGAACCTCCGCCTGCTGCCACAGTGTTGATGTCCAGCTGAGGAGCCTGGAGGGTGACACCGGCTGTGCTGGCCTCAAAGACATGCTCGAATTCCCCAGCATAACGACTCACATCTGTGGACGTGCCTGGTGGGGAGTGGGGTGCTGATGAGTCTCCCAAAAACCTAGAGGCCCAGCTTTGCCCAGCCTGGCGGCTGAGCCACCCTAGACCCCACCCTTCAGCCATCATACCTCCCATGTCAAAGCCAATAACAGGCTGGCCACCTTCCCGCTGGTAGGTGGTGGCTGAGTAGCCTACCACACCGCCAGCAGGGCCTGAGAGCACAGCACGGGAGCCGCTGAAAGCATCCATGGGTGCCAGGCCACCATCGGAGCGCATGAACAGCACCTGTATGTCCTGTAAGCAGGTGGCAGGTGGGCAATGAGGGGCTGGGCAGAGGCATTGGGTCAGGGCCAGGAGTGAGTGGTCAAGGGACCTCACCTTGAGCTGGCCCTGGAAGCCACGGCGGAAGCCCTGCACATAGCGCTGGATGGTGGGCGTGAGGTAGGCATCAGCACAGGCCGTGTGCCCCCGAGGAACAATACGCACCATGGGCATGGCCTCCGAGGACAGTGACACATGCGTGAAACCCAGCTCCCGGGCCAGCGTGCCCACCTGCTGCTCATGCTGGGCCCATCTACAAAGAGAACCCAGCATCATAATGTCTTCCACCAGGACTACCATGTTTCCTACCAGACTCACCACATGCTGCTACAGCCCACAGCCCAAGCCCCTCACTCACGTGTATGAATGCATGAGCACCACGGCGAGACTGCGGATGCCCCGAGACAGCAGCCCCTCCAGCTTCCCACGCAGGGCCTCCAGGTTCACAGGCTGTTGTACTTCCAGCAGGTCTCCTGTGCAGCCTGCCAGAAAGTCCACCAAGGCCTCGTCAAAGGCCACCAGGATCTTCCCACCCCAGATGCCACAACTGCCAGCCTATGCCCACACCTTTGACAGGTGTCCCAGCGCCTGGCTCTCCTCGGTACAGCACCACCCGTTCATCCACCTCCAGCACCTCTTCGTACAGCATCTCAGGCATGGGCACGGCCTGGGGGTGGGCAAAGGCTCAGAAGCGGCCCAGGCCTGAAGGGTCCTTGCTGGGGTCCTGCATGGGTGGGGCAGTGCAGGCAAGGGGATGTGTTCCAACAGGCTAATCAACAGGCTTATGAGACACAGTCAGATGACAATGGCCCCAGCAAGGCCCACGCGGGAGGTCGTTCTCTGCCCTCAGGCAGCTGAGTGCAGACAATTGCCCCACACTCACAGGTGCAGCTTCTTCCTGGAACCCGGCAATGGGGGCAGGGCTCCCTCCCTTCTCTTACTCCGAACAGAGTTGGCTTGGGCAGCCTCACACCAGGGTTCATGCAGATTGGCAGGCAGGAACAAGGCACTGTGTACCCACTCACAGGGTTGGGGGTACTCAAGGTCCCATGCGGAGTGCCAAGAGCTTCCTCTCCGCTTGTCAGCTGGTGTCCTTTGGCCATCACTAATCCTTCCAAAAACTGCCCTGCCCACGGGGTCATGGCATCCCTGGGGGCATATGGCACACAACCTGGTCCCTGGTTGGCATGGAGGAGCTCACCAAATCAAAGAGGTCTTCACGGGCCTGGGTGCCGATGTGCAGTAGGTCCCTAAAGCCATGTGTCACCAGCAGCGCCACCCGCTCCCCCCGCCGCTCCAGCAGTGCATTGGTGGCTACTGTGGTGCCCATGCGGATGCTGGCAATGCGACTGGTATCCAGTGGCCGGTCCCGAGGCAACAGCATGCCCCCCTCCTAGGGACCATGTAGTTAGTGTCAGGCTTCTGGCCAAGGGGTCCCTCCTCACCCAACCCACTCTGCCCTGACCCACCTGCTCCAGGATGCGGCGAATGCCCTCCGTAGGTGCATCTGCATAGTTGGCAGGGTCCTCGGAAAGCAGTTTCAAGACCCGCACGTGCCCACCAGGGCATTGGGCAAAGACGTCTGTGAAGGTGCCCCCGCGGTCAATAGCAAAGTGGAAACGCCCCTCCGGGCTGCCCATGGTGGTGAGGCTGGAGTCCAGCAGTAGCTCTTCAGCGGGTAGCCCTGGGAGAACTGGACAGAGGCAGGGTCAGCCTGGAGGTAATCCACAGGTGAGGCTGATCTCTGACTGGAGGCTCTGCCAGCCCTGAACTGAGCGAGCAAAGGGAGGGGTGGTGTGGGGAAGAGACCCACGGGCATAACTCTGAGCAGAGCCAGAGCTGCAGGGCCCAGCTCAGACGGCAACCTAGGCCAGAGCTGGAGCTGGGCAGACTGGTCAGCAGCCTGATGCCCCATTACCCACTTCTCAGGCACAGGTTGGGGCTTAAGGCCAAGAACTGGTGCGGGCTTTGCAGAGGTGGGGGAGCCCCTAGACCCCAGAGCCCTAGGTCAGAGGTCTGGGTTTCTTTCGCACAAAGAAGGACAGGGGCTGGGGCTGACGGCCAGGGGAGCCCCAATTCCCGCTGTGCTCGACCTTGGGTCCAGGCCTTAAGGGCCACAGGGGCGGGGCGGAGCCTGAGCACCGGTGGGGCGGGGCCGAGGCCCGGAAGGCTTGAGGAGCGGACCCCGGGAGGGCAGCTGGGAAGGCGGCCGCGCAGGGTGGAGAGGAGCCGGCGTAGGGCTCACCTGGCCTGTCGGCTCTGGCGGAAGGTCGCTCCGGGTCTGCTGGAGCTGCGCTCCCGGCCGGCCCAGCCCGCCCCCGCCCCGCCTTGGGGTGGGGCCTGCAGGGCCCGCCCCCCGAACGACTGGTCCTGGCACCGGCAATAGCTGTTGCGTCAATCCCAGCCTGCCCGGAGCGCCTCCTTCCTTGCCCCGAGCGACCCCAAGGACACCTTGGCTCAAGGGCTGCCGGGCCCTGGGCCAGCTCTGGGCTCGCCGAACTGAGCGCCCTCGAAACCCACCTCCAGGTGCCCCGGGCAAGGGGAGCTGGCGGCCCCGACTGCAATAGGGCTCCCCACTGACTGGTGACCTACTCACCCGCACCCCGGTGTGACGAGGGATTAAAGGGCAGATGAGAGACTGAAGGAGACGTGAGTTAGAAGAAACTGGATCCAGAGCCTGGTGCAGGTCACCGCAAGCAAGATGGACATGGCAAGATCCAGCTGACCCAGAGCAATGCCAGGCTCTGTGGCATCTGACCTCCCTTCATGTTCTCTGACCTGGGCCTCATGGCCTCCTCTACCAACCTAGGCTGCTTTCGCTGTGGGCCCCTGGTACCAAATCTCTGGCCGCCTTCACTGGGCCTCCCTCCCTCCCCTGCAACCCAAGGGTGGTAGATTCCAGGACCCACTCTGTGAATGGGCTGCTAGTCATGTCCCACCAAGGTGCTGCCCACAGACCTCCTTACTGTCTTCCCCACTCCTATCCCCAGCTGCAGCTCTGGACCATCACACCATGACCAAGATGCAGGAGCCTCACCCTGCCTACTCTGAGCAATCCAAGAGAAGCAGCTCTGGCCAGCAACCCCATTTCTTTCTCTCTTTTTTTTTTTTTGTTGTTGTTAGAGTCTCACTCTGTCGCCCAGGTTGGAGTGCAGTGGCACACTCACAGCCACCACAGCCTCGACTTGCTGGACTCAGGTGATCCTTCTGCCTCAGCCTTCCAAGTAACTGGGACTACAGGCACATGCCACCACACCCGGCTAATTTTTTTTTTTTTTAATTTATTGTAGAGATGAGGTCTCGCCAAATTGCCCAAGCTGGTCTTGAACTCTTGGGTTCAGACAATCCTTTCACCTCAGCCTCCCAAATTGCTGGGATTATAGATTTGAGCCACTGCGCCCGGCCTCCCCATTTCCATTTCAGTCCAGGATCCCCACCTGCAGACCTCTTGGCCTCGCACTGTAATCAGCCCACTCACACTCCCAAGCTCCTGGATGAATGTGTCCCAACTTTTTTTTTTTTTTTTGAGTTGGAGTCTTACTCTGTCACTCAGGTTGGAGTGCAGTGGCATGCTCACAGCCACCGCAACCTTGACTTGCTTGGTTTAGGCGATCCTTCCACCTCAACCTTCCAAGTAGCTGGAACTACAGGCGCGCACCATCATGCCTGACTAATTTTCTTGATTTTGTTCTAGAGATGAGGTGTCACCAAGTTGCCCAGGCTGGTCTTGAACCCATGGGACTCTAGTCAGTCCTCTCACCGCAGCCTCCCAAAGTGCTGGGACTATAGGTGTGAGCCACTGCACCCGGCCTTGTGTCCTGCCTTCTTGTTTCACTCAACTCCAACACAGTCACTCCATCCTGACTCTCAGCCCAGGATCCATCAGAACAAAATCCCACAACCCTACCCATACCCACCACCACCTGCTTTCCTGTACTCACCCAAGCTGCCAGCCTGGCCTGTGCCCCAAACCTCAAACCCTCTTGCTGCCCCATGGGCATTACCCCGGCCACCTCCCTCTTATTTTTTCACCCCTGGAGTCCATCCTGTCTGCTCACAAATGTATCCTCTAATGGTCTGACCACATGTCCCTCCAGCAGCGCCTTACTGCTCTGCATCTCCCGGTGTCTGCCTCCTGCCTCCACTCACCTCTCAGGCTCTCCTGACCCCACTCCACAGAAGCTGCTACAAGGCGGACCAGGGAAGGCCCACTTCTCCCACCCAGGGCTGTCCCCATTTGCCTGTTCCTGAATGTTGGTGTGTCCCAGCTCCCCCCTGGTAATGTCACATAGTCCCTCAGCAAGGATAAAAGCCCCAGGCCTGCAGGACCTACTCAGCACCGCCCTCTCATCTCCCCCAATTCTGCATAACCAAACACTTCCAAAAGTGACATACCTATTCCCTCGAGTCCCCAGGGTCACCTCCCAGTGACCCAGGGTCATACTCCAAGGGCAGCTCCCTCCTTCCAGTGCTCAGACCAAACCCTGTGAGCTGGCCTTAAGCCCCCTTCTCATGCCCATGTCCAATGTGCCACAAGTCCTGTTACAAGACTTTCAAAATATATATCCAGAGCCAACCACATTTCATACATCCAGCCTGACCATTTCTCAGGAGTGGAGTTGTCCCACCCCATCCCCGTCAATCCAGGGAGCACAGAGAGCACAGGGCAGGGGATGGAGCCTACCCGCAGGCTCCCTCTGACTGTGAGGCCCCCAGTCTCCCCTCTGCCCTCACCACTGATCCTCAGGCACAGCCAACCTGCTGCCACCTCAGGGCCTGGCACAGACTGTTCTCTAGGCCTGGAAAACAGTGTACCAGCCTCCCCCCTGGCTTCACTCCAGCTCTGCTCAGACGTCACTTTCTTAGAGATGGCAGATACCTTCTCCCTGTTGTGCTTTCTGATAGGGCCCCCCACATTCCCCTCACTCCTTGCTTTGCTCCACACTCCTCCGCAGCAAAAGGCAGCCCCTGACACATCACAGCCCTCAAGGGCAGGGTTTGCCTAACTCCTCACCCTCTTGGCACAAGAGGCCTCCTGCCTTTGAGAAGGGCCCCCTCAGACTTCACCATTCACCTCTCTCAGCATCCTTGAATTTGATTGTTCTTCGCCTGGGTGGCCGGGGACTGACAGACACTTCAGCCAGGAAACCAGAACTGCAGAAGCCCAAGCTGCTGCCACGGTTCCTAAGCACCTGCTTCAGCTCTTGGTTCTCCTGGATGAGATGCACAAGCCTCCGCAGCTCCTCGTTCTCCTGTGCCAATCGTTGAATCTCCTGCCGCAGGCCCTCATAGCTGCTGAGGAGGGACATGCCCGGCAGCCAGGGGCGGCAGCTGGCCGGTGGCCAGCGGGCTGACCAGGGACAGCAGACCTCACCATTGTGAAGTCAACGGCTGCCCCTGCCCCCACACCTTGACCACATTCCAGGGTTTCTGGGTGGAAAGCTAGCCATCCTGACCTTCCTGGCAGGACTCATCTAGCCTCTACCTCTGGACTTCTAAGGGCCACATGACCAGTGGGTGCCCAGTCCTGCCCCGGGTCTCTGAGTCCCTCCAGGAATTCACCTTCTGGAAGATGGAAGCTTCTTTGTCCCAGTCTTGCCCGGGTATGTTGCAGGAGGGGGGGTAGGTGGGATTCAGGCATCCCCACCTACACACTTGGCCACCCACTGGGAACCAGCTACAGCCTCCTATCCTGCTCATGCCAGGACATGCATCTGGACAACTGAATGTTGTATCTGAGAAGTAACAGTTGGCATGGCATCCAAAGGGGTCAGAAAGTGTGGATATGTGAGCTGCCCTGCAGGAGGGAGCATCTCTAGCCCAGCAACAGTATGAGCTGGACAGCAGTGACCAGGGCAGGTCAGTGCTACAGGGACATGGGCAAATCAATGAGTACCTTAGGAGAGTGTGGGGTGAGGTTGCAGGCAAAGAGATGCACCAGGCAGTGCTGGTGCCAACACAAGACAGGCTGGGCTTGTTACAAGAGTGGCAGGGCTGAGGCATTACCACATGGAGAGTGCAGCAGGTGGGCAGGTGCCCTGGACAAGGCACCACTTCTGGGCCACAACCTCAAGGAATGGAGAGGAGCGGGCAGCCCTCCAGAAACTGAACCCCTAGACCTAAGGACAGGGTTTGCCCTGGGGAAAGAAGAGCCACCCCCGAGAGTGACAATGGACTTGTATTTTCAGTCATATAAAGGACTTTATTTTAATCGAATTAGATTATATCTCATCTGTTTCATAATGGGACACTTCTGTGCAGTCGCCTTGATTTTTGTGGCCTTTTCTTTCTTTCTTTTTTTTTTTTTTTTTTTTTGAGTTGGAGTCTCACTCTGTTGCCCAGGCTGGAATGCAGTGTCACACTCCTAGCCACCGCAGCCTCAACCTGCTGGGCTCAGGCGATTCTTTCACTTCCAAGTAGCCAGGTGCACACTACCATGCCTGGCTAATTTTTTGATTTATTGTAGAGACGAGGTCTCACTATGTTGCCTGGGCTGGTCTTGAACCCGTGAGCTCAGAATCCTCTCGCCTCGGCCTCCCAAACTGCTGGGATTATAGGCTTGAGCCACCGTGCCTGGCCTTGTGGCCTTTTATTACATTATGATTATTATTTATTTCCCATCAAATTTTCCTTCTTGTTTGTTTGATGGGTGCAGTTTTCACTTGTTGATTTGTAGATTCTCCTGGGATTCTTCTGTTTCCTTTCCTGGCTATGGGGCACAGTGGCCTCTAGTGGGAGTTCTCGCCTGTGGTGACTAAAAGGGGGAAGCACCACCAAGACCAGTCAGTGCTCTAGGAGACCAGGTGACAATGGCACCAAATCCCAATGGAAATCATGGCAAGTGAAATAATTCCTATAATTAGGAAATAATCCCAATTCTAAGGATTATGGAGTAGAGTATTTCCGACAGTATTAGAGATTTTATCCCAAAAGAATGAGAGGCTCAGTCTTCAGCTCAGACAATCTCTGAAAGCCAGAAGGTGGATTGTGGCAGACAGAATTCTAAGAAGCCCCCAGGATTTCCTACTGTGCATGCCCTGCATAATACCCAGGACTGTGAACAGGATGGATTATACCCCCATGATTGGGTCTGGCTATTTGACACTACTAGGGGATAAAGGGAGATAAAGGGAGATCATCTTGCGTAAGCCTGACCTAATCAGGTGAGCCCTTCAGGTCTCTTTCTAGTGAGATTCAAAGCATGAAAGGGATTCCATGCAAGGGAGAATCTCCATTGCTGGTAAGGGTCACATGGCAAGGAATGTCAGCAACCTCTAGGGACTGACGTATCATACTCAAAATACTTAAAGGCAAACACAAAGGGAAAACTTCGAAAATAACAAGAGAAAAAACTGACTTGTCACAATAAGAGAACTCCAATAAGATTAATACCTAACTTTTTAGTAAAAATAGTGGAGAACAGAAGATGATAATATACTCAAAATCAGAAGAAAAAAAAAACTGTCAAGCAAGAATCCTGTATTCAGGATTTTTTTATTTTTTATTTTTTTAGTCAGGGTCTCACTCTGTCACCCAAAATGGTGGAAGGCAGTGACACAATCACAGCTCACTGCAGCCTTGACTTCCTGGGTTCGGGTAATGCTTCCACCTCAGCCTCTCAAGTGGCTGGGACTACAGGCGCACACCACCACACCCAGCTAATTCTTTTATTTTTGTGGAGACAAGGTCTTGCTATGTTGTCTAGGCTGGTCTGGAACTCCTGGGCTAAAACAATTCTCTCACCTCAGCCTCCGAGAGTGCTAGGATTACAGGCATGACCCACCATGCCTGGCCAGGAAAACTATCTCTTGAAAAAGAAAATGAGGCCAGATGTGGTGGCTCAAGCCTATAATCCCAGTACTTTGGGAGACCGAGGTGAGAGGATTGCCTGAGTCCAGGGATTCGAGACCAGCCTGGGCAACTTAGTGAGACCTCATCTTTACAATAAATCAAAAAATTAGTCAGGCGTGGTGGCATGTGCCTGTAGTTCCAGCTACTTGGAAGGCTGAGGCAGAAGGATCGCCTGAACCCAGTAGATTGAGACTGCGGTGGCCGTGAGCATGCTACTGCACTCCAGCCTGGGCAACAGAATAAGACTCCAACTCAAAAAAAAAAAGACACTAAAGAGACTTCTTCAGACTGAAAGAAGTGGCATCAAATAATAATTCAAAACCCAGTTCTCTGAGTGCAGCCACACTGTGCCCAGGTTTCTGACCTATAGAGACATGGGTAACAAATGGATATAGTTTTAAGCCACTATGCCTATGGCAACTTGTTACATAGCATGGGAACACTAGCACAGCCCCCCTACTGAAGGAGACTCCTGACCTGATTTGAAGGGCGGCAGGGCTGCAAAGGAGAGGCATATATAGTTTCTATGTGCCAGAGCCAGTGTCCTAAGCCCTAGGATGTGAACTTTGAGTGGATACACTCAAATCGTGTACCCCTAAGCTTCCCTAAGCCCTCATTGCTGGCAGAAGCACACCTTCCCACCTTGCCAGAGGAGACTAGGCAGTGGCTCAGCTGAGCATATCGGTGCTGTCACCATGGCTGCCTCCCTTAGATGCATGTGCTGCTCCCGCCTTTGGGAGGTGGAGTCCAATTCTCATTCTTTGGAATTTGAACTGGCCTGTGCCAGAAGAATGTAGGGAAGTGAAGTATGCGTGCTCCAAGCCTTCATCTGAGAGCCTGGCAAGGACAAGACTACCTGGATGGCTGTGTGACACTCACTCTGGAAACTGACCAGAGAGCATACAGAAAAGCAAGAAGCATTTAGTTCAAGAAGATCTACAAAGCCTTTATCAGAACAGCAGGAATCTGTGGCATTTGAGCCTGACCTGCTCCAACCAGTCCTCAGCTCAACTACCAGAGGTGCAGCTGAGAACATGGGCTCCCTTTCCCCTGGCTCAGATTTGTAGGGCAGAGGCTCCACACAGGGAAGGACAGGCTGAGACGATGAGGCCTACCATCCCCCCAGAACCAGCCACAGAGTAGGGGTATTACTCTGGGAGAAGTAGGCCACCACGCCCATTCCCGGGTCCCCAGACCCTGCCCAAGTAAGAGGCTGTGGCAAGACTGACAGCTGCATGATTTTGCACAGCCCACTGCCTGTAGTCAGAAGTTGAGTGTGGAGAAAGTCATGCCTAAGGCTGGTGGGAGGTAATGGAAATCTCGGTGGCAAGCAATTATGAAAAAGCTAACAGCTCTGTGAAACTAAAAGCAGCAAATGAAATGGCAGACCAGCCCAAAATACAACAGAGACAACTATAAAAGGACCCTATTGATACCACACTCATCTCTGGGAGTTCAGAGATTGTGCATGAACATCAGGCTGCACCCACTCAGGGCAAGCAGAGCAGGCATACAAGAGCTAACTCATTGGATGTGTTCATTTTCTATTGCTGCTCTAACAAATTCCCACACACTCAGAGGCTGTAACTACAGAAATTTATTCTCTTATAGTTCTGACTATCAGAAGTCCAAGTTGGGTCTTATGGGGCTAAAGTCAAGGTTTTTAGCAGGGCCAGGCATGGTAGCTCACACTAGTAATCCCAGCACTTAGGGAAGTCGAGGTGGGAGGACTGTTTAAGCACAGGAGTTCAAGACCAGCCTAGGCAAAATAGTGAGACTTCATCTCTACAAGAAATCAAAAAATTAGCTGGGCATGGTGGCATGCGCCTGTAGTCCCAGTTACTCAGGAGGCTGAGGTGGAAGGATCATCTGAACCCAGGACGCTGAGGCTGCAGTAAGCCATGATTATGCCACTGTACTCCAGCCTTGATGACAGTGAGATTCCCCAACTCAAAAAAGAGAAAAAAAAGAAAAGTTTTTAGCAGGGATGGTTCCTTCTGAAGGCTCCAGAGGAGAACTCACTCCTCACCTCTTCCAGCTTCTGGTGACCACTGGCATTCCCTGGTTGCTGCCACATCAATCTTTGCCCATGTGGTCACAGGACCTTCTCTTCTGCAATTAAATCTCCCTCTACTTTCTTCTTCTTCTTCTTTTTTGAGTTGGAGTCTCACTCTGTCACCCAGACTGGAGTGCAGTGGCCTCCCGGCCACCCCAGCCTCAACCTGCTGGGCTCCGGCGATCCTTCCACCTCAGCCTTCCAAGTTGCTGGAACTACAGGCACGCGCTACCACACCCAGCTAATTTTTTGATTTATTGTAGAGATGAGGTCTCACCAAGTTGCCCAGGTGGGTCCCAAACCCGCGGTCTCAGGCAATCCACTCACCTCAGCCTCCCAAAGGCGTGGGATTACAGGCTGAGCCACTGAGCCCGGCTTTTTTTTTTTTTTTTTTTTTTGAGTTGGAGTCTCACTCTGTCACTCAGGCTGGAGTGCAGTGGCATGCTTATGGCCAATGCAGCCTTGACCTGCTGGGTTCCAGTGAGTCTCCCACCTCAG